ACACACACCCCCACCCCCCACCCCGCCCCTCCACCGCAGGTGGGCGAGCTACACGCGGCGGTGACCCGCGGCCTCCGCGAGCACGGCACCGTGCTCACGCGCCGCTTCGGCAGAGTGTGGGCGTACATGGTCGACGGGTTCGGGAGGCACACGTGCTCATGGACGACGCCATCCCTTTCCTGGACCTTTCCGAGACCTTTCCTGGACCTTTCCTAGGCACGTGCTCATGGACGACGCCAACGCGCCGTCGCTGCTCTCCATCCCTCTGATCGGCTTCGCGCCGCCCTCCGACCCGACCTACCGCGCGACGCGTCGGCTCGCGCTGACTGCCTCCGCGTCGCTCGCGCACCGCTGCCAGGCAGGCTGAAGACCGTTCCGTAGTCCTTTCCTAGACCCTTCCTAGACCTTTCCTAGACCCGTCCTAGACCTTTCCTAGACCCTTCCTAGACCTTTCCTTTCCTGGACCTTTCCTGGACCCTTCCTAGAGACCTTCCCTTAGACCTTCCCTGGACCTTTCCTGGACCTTTCCAGGACCTTTCCTGGACCCTTCCGCGCACCGCTGCCAGGCAGGGTTCGACCAGTTGCGCGCGCCGCCGGTGGTCAACGCGAGCGAGGCGTACAACGCGACGGCAGGCAACCCGTGCTTCTTCGAGGGTGTGCCGCGCCCGCCGCCGCCGGGGCGCCCGCCGAAACCCGCCGCGCCCGCCGAAACCCGCCGCGCCCGCCGCGCCCGCCCTCGCCCGCCCTCGCCCAGCCGTCTCGTCCTTGCTGGCCGCCTCCCCGACGTCCGATATGGTGCGCGCAGAGCCTTTGCGCAGCCGCGGCGAGCCGGCGCTGAGCGGCGTCGGCTCTCTGCACACGGGCCCGGGCAAGCTCTGGCCGATGTCCCTCATCGTGCAGGCCCGCACCGTCGAGCAGCCGCGCAGCCGGCAAGGGCGCGAGGAGGGCTCGACCTTTCCTCGACCTTTCCTCGACCTTTCCTCGACCTTTCCTAGGCAAGGGCGCGAGGAGGTTCGAGGGCTGCTCCGCATGCTGGAGCGCGTCGCGAACACGACGCCCGACGGGCGCATGGTCGAGTCGTACAGCCTCGTTATGAAGCGCTCGCGCAGCAAACAGAGCCGCGGCGGCGGTCGCGCCACCGCGGCGGGTCGCGACACGGCAGTGTTCACGCGCAGGCTCTTCGGCTGGGCCGACGCGATCTTTGTCGAACTGATCGC